CCCTGAGCTTGCTCTGTTTTGCTTGACTGGTCTTGTGACCCCTTGTTCTCCCCCACTTTGCCTATGGGGGTGTGTCAGAACGTTATCTAGCTTATGCTGTTGTGTAGGCTATAGTGGGGTGTCCCATAGGGGGTACAACCCAATTAGGGTTTCCTATATGTACTCACTTCATTCATAGTTCATTCATTCTCGTTCTATTCTTCTCATGCAGTTCCGTGATGTTCGTCGGGGGACGCCACGCGTTGACTGTATCCAGCTTCTTAGGGTCGATTTCAACTCCAGCCTCCGAAATAACGTGTCCTAAAAATTCTAGCCTGTCCCGAAAAAACTTGCACTTGGAGCCCTTGGTGAGTAACCGATGTTCCGCTAAAATTTTAAAAACTGCTTCGAGATCGACTAAGTGCTGCTGCTTGTCCCGACTGTAAACGAGAATGTCGTCAAGGTAAACTATCACGCATTTATCTAAAAGTGGCCTAAACGCCTCGTTCATGGTCATTTGAAATGTGGCGGGCGTGTTGGTCAGCCCGAAAGGCATCACCGTATACTCGAATGACCCGTACCTAGTTCTAAATGCTGTCTTGGCGCAGTCCGATGGTTCGACCCGAATCTGATGGTAACCTCCTCGTAGGTCTATTTTCGAAAATACCCGTGCGGTTCGTAACTGGTCGATCAGTTCGTCGCCGCGGGGGATGGGGTACCGTGATTTGACTGTTACCCTGTTAAGCGCTCGGTAGTCGATGCACATGCGAAACCCTCCGTCTTTTTTCGGTGTGAACAGTATCGGTGCGGCGAACGGTGACGAGCTCGGTCGGATAAACCGCTTCTCTAACAGATAATCTAACTGCTTCCTTAGTTCGTCGAGCGCGGGCTGTGTCAGTCTGAACTGGCGCTGTACAGTTGGCTGTGCCCCCGGTTCTAACTCGATCCTATGGTCATGCGCCCGCTGAGGTGGCAGCCCTTGTGGTAAGTCATCCGGAAAGATACCCGGGAATCGTTTCAGTAGTGCCTGAAGTTCGGGTGGTACAGCTGCCAATAGTTTCTGAAAATGGCTCGGCAACTCCTCTTCTTGCACTAATGCTATATCCACTGCGTACACGTCAGCTCCAGCAGTGACAGCCCGTTTCATCGTGATGGCGTTGACCTGGACCGTCGAAGACTCGGGTGGCTGCAAGCGAGGTAGGACGACCCAGTTACCACTATTTCGCACTGTGCAGCTACCCGTCGTCCAGTCAATTCGCGGGTTATACCGTGGCAGCCAATCACGTCCCAGTAAAATGTCGTGCCCATCCAGTGTCGTTGCGAGCATTTCCTGTGTAAACCCGAAGTTTCCTCCGCAGCGGACTTTTACTCGCTCCACCTTTTCCCGTATGGCTAGTGGCGTTCCGTTGACTAAGCGTGCATCTCAGGTAAGCATCGGTTAAGTGTTAACTGTAATTTCCGTGCGGTTGCGGTATTAACTAAACTGTGACTTGCTCCCCCGTCAATAAAAATCTTCACTGCTGCTCCATGTATTTTCCCGTGGATCAGTACCGGGCAATCCGTCGCTGTTCCCTCCTTATTCATCCGAGCCCGATCGATGGCGTGAATCGGTAGTGTGACTCGGTGAGGGTCGGTGTGGTTGGGCGAGCAGGCAGTCTCGTCAGTAGTTGGCCCATCTTCTACTGACTGCTGGCGTTTCCCTGCCTCTGAGACTCCCTCCCCTGCTCTGCTCCTCGGCGCCTCAGCTCCTCTGGGCATTCGCTCTTGCGATGGCCCGGCCTGTTGCAAGCAAAGCGGCGCCCTTTAAACGGTGCGGCAGCTCCATTTGTTGCAACGGCGTGTACAGTGGCGTGCTCGGTCGGTCCCCGAGGGCGATGTCCGTAATAGGACCCCGGTCTCGGTCGGCGTAGAATGTCGATCTTCTCGGCGAGCGCGAGAATCTCGTTAAAATTAGAGAGTCCGCGCAACATTATTTCGTGCGAGATATCCGGCTTCAGCCCTCCAACATAACGGTCCACCCGCTCCGCTTCTTGCATGTAGCCGACCTGCTCGCAAAGTGCGAGAAAACCGCTTGTATAATCTTGAACTGACCCGAGGTGGCGCCAAGTGCGCAATCTCTGACGCGTCGAAATTGAAGCCGCGATCGGCTCAAAACGCGCCCGAAGCCCTGCGCACCACGCATCCCACGTGCTGTATTGGGCGGTCTCACAGAACGAACTCCAGGTGACAGCTGGACCCGTGGGCCTTTTCCTCGTGCGACGGTGGCTCGTAGGCGCGTGGCGACGTCACGATGACTCGCCACCAGTCCATGGCGGGGCCCCTTAGCAGTGAAACTGCATACCGGATCTTCGCGGCGTCCGACTCGACGTAATTTGCGTCGAAGAAGACGTTCATCGTGAAGACCTACGATTGAACCGTTGGACCGCCGCGTTGGCTTGGGTCGAAGCAGGGCGGGCGTTGCGGCTTGAGCGGCATTGGTGCCATGATGGCTTGTTCGCCACTTGTTGCCGCAAATTCCACGTGTTGACGGGCTTCTCGGGGCTCCCGCGGGCTTGGTGCGATCCTGTTTCCTCCCATGCCAGGCATCGGCTGGGCGGCGCCATTACTGGTCGTGCCTGAGCGTTGTCCCGTGCTGTCGTGTTGTGTTGGTGTGCCGGACGAGATGACGATCGGTTCATCCGAATGTGCCGATACATTTGTTGGTGTGTGTGATGTCGTCGGAACGTTCACCGTGGACTGTTGACGGGCGGAGTCACGTTCCGCCGTGAGCGTCGCGATTTCGAGCGCTGAATCTTCCTGTTGACGCACGAGACGATCAAGTTGCTCCTGCGTTAATGTGGCGAGCGTGAAATCGGCCATGGCGGGGGTGTCGGGCAAGCTCAGCGAGAGCCTCGGTCGTGGCCGTGCGTGCTTGCGAGAGAGCACTACGAGCGGCGGTGCTGTATCGCTGAGAGACGTCTACCCCCCCCAAAAAATTGAGATAGTGGGGAAGCGAAGGTGTGGATGCGGTCCGAGCTGAGATCGTAGGCTCTGATAACCAAGTGTTACGAGTGCAATTGAGTGAACGAACGAGAATTGCACTATCGAAGCAAGAATACAATGAGCGAGGGCGTGAGCGAAGAATATATAGCGAAACTACAGTGGTAACGGTAATGGTGTGTGGTAGTCGCGCGACGAGCCTGGGACTGAGGTTGGGAAAGTGTCGAGGCGTAGGCCCGGAGCGCGGGTTACCAGCCGAGCCGTGAGGTCGGGATGCGATGTGCGAAAAATGGCGGGATGATTGTCGATGCGATGATCGCGAGTGGTAACGGTGCTGACTGAGGTGCTGCAGTGATGTACGCGTTGAGCAGGGATGCGAAGTAAGGAAAAGGGATTTTCCTTAAAGTATTCTATTTCATGATGTCGCTAAGCAGAAAACAAACTTACGAACCGCTTTAAAACGCGTGGAACCACCCTGAGCCACGATGAATGATTTGTCAACTCCCCATTTGTTCTTCACCCAGAAATACGTCGCACTCACAGCGACACGGGATTGACGGGACACGAACGTAGACATGACGGAGGCCGTTTGCTGACAGTTTGAATGGACAGGAGGGGAAAATCCGCAAATCGTGGAGCAAACAAAAACCACTCATTGGAAACGGATAATGCGGATGGCTATGGATAATCTAGCAAGCTCCTCCTGATTGGCGGCGGTTCGGCGGTGGAATGAACAGACGAGTGCGACGCGATCTAAGTCGGGAAAAACGGATGTCCGGAGGGTGATCGAGCCGCGCATGTTCCAATCTGCAGCAAATTTCGGCTTGAGTTGAGCCCGTCAGTCAAGAGTGCAAGCATTTCTACATGAGGGTTGTGGTTTCCCATAAGAAATCCTCATTCTCGCACTGCATTCTACCATTTTTGTTCTAAGCATCTACTTTTGATTAGCTGCCTTCTTCGTTTGCGACTGCCAAGAGCTCGCTTCTAGTTTTCCATCGCGTCCTTGCTCTTCTTTGTGCTCTACCACTTCGTTAAGCATTCGTCTCGTCGCAGCTGATCTTGTCCCACACGCATTGTGCGTTTGGTCGCGTTACGTGCGGCTCAGCTTCCCACATAGACCCGACTGGACATAATCCAAGCATCGCCATTCAAATCGCCTGTGAATCCATTTTATTCAACCTACGACATTCCTCCTAACATTTTTGAACGTCACTAGCCTGGCGCCCATTCTGTGGCAAGGCGTGGCTTCATGGCGTCGAGGTCAACAGAATCCATCAGCGTCCGTTACGCTGCTCGCTGCGACCCGCAGTAGCTCCGTCATAGCGACGGTAATGATGAGCCCGCGCAGCCGCAAGAGCAGCAGCTGCGCCGTCGTTGGGTCTTCCAGCAGCAACGGTGCCGGCTCTCCCAAACTGGTAAGTTCCTCGAACACAGTTGCCGCATCCCGCACCGAGGGAGCTCTTTTCAACCCCAACAACCGTCAGGATCACGCTAGCGTCGAAATTGCCGCGACTGGCGGTCTCGGTGTTACTGCTAGCACCAGCAGCACCCCTGCCGTGCTTTCTTTTACGTCTGGGGCTGCTTCTCCTTCTGCTTCTTCTTCCTCTCCTGCTTTCAATCCTGTTCCGTCTCGTACTGCTTCGACCTTCGTGGCGTCCGAATCCGGGCTTGTTCCTCCTTCAACTAGCAACAGCACGGCTGTTCCGCCGACTGCGCCGCGGTTCGGCGCGTTTCTCTGGGCCAATGTGAAGGCGCCAAATCGCGTGTGGCGACGGGTCTCCGCATCCGGCGCCGCTTCTTCCTTTGACCGAGAAGCCACCCGCACGAACAACGAGCCGTCAATAGCGGCCGAGTCCGCTCACGGCGGGGGAGACGCCGCTGTCGCTTACAGTAGGATCCCGAGAACGTCGCCGCCGTCGTCCACGACACAGCTGCGGCAGCTGGAACCGTTTGGCGATTCCGTCGCTGTGTCCGCGCCCTCGGAGCAAGACGCGTGCGACACGTCAGTGGTCCACATCACACTCCCGCCGCCGCCGCTGCCAATGCCGGCGCTGGAACCTGTCGTGCCCTGCTGCTCCCCGCAACAAGCGCCAGCGCCGCTCGCGGCTCCTGTTCCGCGCAGGCTGGAGAGGCGGAAGTCGTTCCCGCAGCGGAGCACCAGGAGGAGCGACATTGGCGAAATCGGCGAGTTCGGCGGATTCGTTGAACTCCGCGAAGTTGACGAGTGTCTGTTTGAGAGAGGCTCGGAGACCACTCCCACCGTTCCTGCCACTGCCAGAGGCAGTGGGCCGCGAGGAAGGTCAAGCTGTGGTGTGCAGATGACGGTGACGGAGAGTCGGAGCGGGGATGGAGATAGTGCATGGGAGCATGAGGACGCGGAGGAAGAGGAGGAGGAGGAGGAAATGGAGGAGGGAGAGGAGAGAGAGGACGGAGAGGCGAGAGAGGCAACGGTGAGTGGTGCGGTCAACGCGGGGAGCTGGTGCAGGCGCGTGTTGGGGGAGAGCAGTGGCAGGTGGATGGGCAGGAGCCCCTGGAGGATGCAGGACCGCCCCTTGGTGCTCTTCGAACACTCGCCCTCCGCCTCGCCTCTCTCTCCCACTGCCACCACCTCCCCTCCTCCTCTTCCTTCTCCTGCTGTTTCAGCTTCTGCTGCTAATTCCCCCGACGGTGCTTCTCCGGGTGGTTTTGTCGTCCCAAGCGCCTCCCACGGTGTCAATGGCTGCAACAAAGAGTCAAGCGGCAATGGCACTGGCACTGGGATTTGCACGGGCAGTGGCAGTGGTGCTGGCAGCAGTGGGCGCGCTAAGGTGGGAGTGGTTCCTGGAGCCAGTTCGTCTGGTAGCAGCACGGGCAGTCTGGGAGGAAGCAGCAGTGACAGCGGTGGCAGCAGCAGCGGTGGCAGCAAGGGTGGCGGCGGCAGCAGGGGCAGCGGAGGTGGGGTGAGGCGAGCCAGGCCTGCATGGTTTTGGTGGGCGGGTGGCTGGACTGTGGCTCTGCCGGTGCCGTCTACCACACTGCGCCTGCTGCCGCTGGTGCATCCTGCTCCCACCGTGAGTCGTGCCGTGATGCCTCTACCACAGACCGACCACGGGCAAGCCAATGCCAGCGCGCCATCAGTAGAAGCCATGCCGGGTATACACACTGCTGGTGATAATGCCGGTGATGGGGATGGTGGTGAGGAAGGTGATGGTGCTGACCATGCTGCGGGCGACAGTGGTGCTGCTGATGCTTCTGATAGAGCCGACGGTGCTGACGGCGGCGGTGCCGATGCGTTTACACTGCTGCTGGATGATGCTGTGTCGCCTGCTGGCTTCCAAGCGGACAGGCTGAGTGTTACAGAGAGTGAGGGGGGCGTGGTGGGTGAGGAGGAGGCGTATGAGTGGGCGAGGAGAGTGGTGCGATCAGGGATGGAAGCTGAGATGGAGCAGGGCGGCCGTCTGCTGGAGACACAGGATGATGCAGAGGGTGGGGAGGAGGGTGCGGGGGAGCGTGGGGGTGAAGGTGCGGGGGAAGATGCGGCCGAGGATTTGGCAGCAGGAGAGGTGGTGGCAGAAGAGAGGAGACAGGCGGAGCAGGGGATTAATCTGACACATGCTGGGCGTGGTGCGATGGTGACTTTTGAGTCGACTCAAAAGTCACGTGGTGCGATGGAGGACCAGAGCAGTGCCAGGCAGCTATCTGAGACTGAGAGCAATACTGCTAGGCTGGTCCTCACTTCCACAGACACTTCCAGTGAGGCCCCCAGTGAGAATTCCCCCAGTGAGACTTTGACTGATGGGTCTGGGCAAGAATCTGGGGAGGAGCAAGGGAGGGATGTGGACAGGGTGCTTAGCGAGGTGGGAGGTGCGGGGATAGAGGGACCGGATGGAGGCAGTGGGTATATGGGTATGCCACACGCTCTTGGCATGGGTAGAAGCAGCAGTGGGATTAGTGACAGCAATGACAGCACTGGCAGCCTTGGCAGTGGTGGGGATGGATGGGATAGAAGCGCCAGTGGGTATGGGAGAGGCAGCAGCAGCAACAGCAGCAGCAACAGCAGCGGTGGTGGTGCTGCTGTGTGGGATGCAATGCTAATGGAAGCTCTCTCGCCTCTCCCTCGAGGCACCCTCGTCGCCCGCCCCTTCACCATGCAGCGAAGACTCTCAGGTACTAGCCTCACAGCCACGAACCAACCCCCTCCATGCCCCTGCACCCCTCCCTGTTGCCCTCCGCCCGCCCACCTCACTTCGTGTCCACCCTCTAGCGTCCCAACTCAATCTTTTCTCTCGTTCTCATATCATTAATTTACAGCCTCTTCCCTTGCTGTCCTGTCCCACTTTGTTTGAGACACCTAAGCAATCGTCCCGCTTTCTTCATCTATCCAGTTCTTTCCACACCCACTGACTGCCTGCCTTGTGTGTCTCTCTGCCGTGCAGAGGTGGATCAAGAAGCGACTGACGGCCCTGCATCGCCCACGCTCTCTCCATCCCTCTCCCTCACTCCGGACCCCTTCCAAGTCTTCTCCCGCTCCACCTACCGCCCCACCTTCCGCTCCACCACCCGCACCAGCCGTGTCAGCCGCAGCAGCCACACCAGTCGCACCAACAACACCAGCCGCACCAGCTGCACTAGCTATGGCACTGTTCTCTTCCCTGCTGTCTTCTCGCCTGCGCTCTCCGGCCGGCCTGACAGCTCATCTGATCATCGTGGATGGTCCAGTCCTGCTACCAGTAATGGGCATGGGCTGACCCGTGCTGCTAGCAGCGGGGCGACCGGTGCTGCTGACTGGGCGGCGAGAGGGAGTGGCGGGGAGAGTGGTAGAGGTAGTGGTGGATGGGGCTGGGGAGGGAGTGAGGGGCGGGGGAGTGGTGCGTGGGGCATGGGGGAGGTGATGGGGGAGGGCATGGGGGAGCGGATTGGAGAGGCGATGGGGACGGAGGGTGGTGCGGGGCAACTGCCGTATGAGGAGCTGCTGCTGCTGGATGAAGGCATTGCACCGAGGTAACTGACTTGTGTGCATTGCTGCACAGGTGGCTCGTTATCGTTGATGACACACAGTATCCGCCCGATCGAATTGATTCGGCACAACTGTTGCTGCCTCGCCCACTGTTTCGCAACACCGCTGTACTCGTTCTCCTTCCACTGCTCTTTCCCTTCTCTTGCTCCCTCACCCTGCAGGGGGCTCACTCCACGGGAACTGTGGGGGCTGGATCGACTCACTGTGACCCACGCTGACGTGCACTCACACCCAGATTGCCAGGTGCCTTCCTTACATTCTTTCTCTGCATGCACTGCCCACGCAGCTATGTATGCTTCAAAATATGTCCTTTGTCTCGTGCTAGTTTCCTCTCCGGGCCTCGGCTACCCCTATATTGTACCCAGTACTTGCACATGTTCGTGTCAGTGATCGATACAAGTTCATGAGCGTTCAACATCTGATTAAACTATTCTCTTTTGTTCCCAAACCTATCCCCTACCCTGGCAGATATGCCTTTCTTCCCCAGTGGAAGGTGACCTCTTGGCGAATCTCCCTTGCCACCATACCTTCCAGTAAGTGTTCCTTCCTGTTTAAAAGCAGTTGCCTCTCTTCTAACCCCTGCCGTGTCTAATGTCGCTCCACTTTATCCCGCTTTCATTTGCAATTATCTCACATCTATCTCACTACCATTATTTCCATTCCCACCGGGTCTTCCTCCTATGTGGATGCAGCAACGCGTGCATCACAACATGGTTTGCTCGGAACCGCACCTGCCCACTTTGCCGCTTCGAGATCGCCACCACCAGCTAACATGACTGACATACAGCCATAGCAGGCAGAATTGAGTGCTGTCGTGGCACATAGGTGACATATCATAGGAAAAGCGTAACAAACGATGTCGAACTACACTGAACCAAGTAACTGACTGCCATGATGGCATCCACAAGATTTAGGTGCCCTTGCCATATTAATTGTATACGTGTGTGTGTGTGTCTATGTATGTGTGTGTGTGTGCGTGTGTGTGTGTGTGTGTGTGTGTGTGTGTGTGCGTGTGTGTGTATGTGTGTGAGTGAATATTTGATCACAGTTATCTTTGGCAGTACCTCGTGCCCGAGTGTACAGTGCACTTGCCACAATATGCTGGTGCACCTTGCATCCTATATCAGGTCAAATGAAGTGTACCAACCACAAGAGATGCTAATTTTATGTGTGTGAAGTTGCATCTAAGCATAGTCTTACGAGTGCAATTGAGTGAACGAACGAGAATTGCACTATCGTAGCAACAGTCCAATGAGGGAAACTATGAGCGAAGAATATATAGCGAAACTACAGTGATAACGGTAACGGACTATGGTTGTCGCACGATGGGCCTGGGACTGAGGTTGGGAAAAAGTGTCGAAGCGGAGGCCCAGAGCGCGGGTTACCTGCCGAGCCGTGAGGTCGGGATGCGATATGCGAAGGTGGCGGGCGCATTGTCGATGCGAGGGTTGCAAGTGGTAACGGTGTTGACTGTGGTGCTACAGTGATGTACGCGTTGAGCAGGGATGCGAAGTGAGGAAAAGGAATTTTCCTTGCACTACCCCCCCCCGCTAAGGAGGTCCTCCTTACGAAAGTGCGTGTACATCCCTGAAATTTCGGCTGCGTAGATACTCGGTGAGGACAGGGTGGTTTTCGATTCTGTCCAGGGGAACCCAATTGTCTTCGGTGGGTGTACGGTCCTTCCAACAGAGTAAGAACTCGATCCTTCGAGCTCCTCGAGGGTCGCGAACTCTGTGACTCAGGATTTTCTCGGGGGTGACGATTGGTTCAATTGGTGGTCTTGTCATGCTGGCTGGGCGATTGCGTGGTAGTTGGCTCGTGGACGGGACGTAAGGGCGAAGTAGGCTGACGTGGAATGAGGGGCTCACGTACCAGTCAGCAGGGAGGAGGAGGTGGGCGGTGACGGGTGTAAGCATGTGGCTTATGCGAAATGGCCCGCAGTATCGGGGGCGGAGTTTCGGGGTGATGGGCAGTCGGAGGTTCTGAGTGTCAAGTAAAACTAAGTCGTCGGGTTGGTAAATGACAGGTCTACGGTGGCGGTCGGCGTTGCGTTTCGTGATGATGTTCGGTTTTTTTATTGCGTCTGCTGCCCGGGTCCGTGCTGCTAGTAATATTTCGGCGAACTGTTGTGCTCGTGGTACTGGGTTGTCGGGATTCGGGGTCATGGGTACTGTCGGGTCTATTAGGTCGTGGCGGATGGCGAGTTGTTGTACGCGAATTCGATTAGTGGCATTTGCTGTTTCCAAGTGGTCGGGTCGTCACACGTGGCCCTGATAAGCTGTTCCATGGTCTGATTTGTCCGTTCTGTCTGTCCGTCGGTTTCGGGGTGGTATGATGAACTGAACTGTAGTCGCGTGCCGAACTGCTGCCAAAGGTTCCGCCAGAAGTTGCTGGTGAATTTCGTGTCGCGGTTGTCAAACATTATATATGTTATGCTTGTGTAGGCTACAGTGGGTTAGCCTATAGGGGGTACACAATTCTAGGGTTTCCTACTTGTACTCATTTCACTGCTAGTTCATCCATTCATGTTCGCTTATTCTCACATGGTATAGAGCGGGTCCTTCTAAGGACCGTTTTTTTTGGGCCCACCGAAGCGCGATTTTTTTAGCGACCCCTCGGGTCGCCTTTTCCCCTGCGGCTCAGCCGCCTCCACTGACGCGGCCCCGCCGCCCTCCCTTACGCGGCCTCGTCGCCGGCTCTCACGCGGCCCCGCCGCCGACTCTGTCGCGGCCCCGCCCCGGCCTTTACACGGCCCCGCTGCCTGCTCTCACGCAGCCCCGCCCCGGCTCCTACGCGGCCCCGCCCCGGCCTTCACGCGGCCCCGCCGACGGCTCTGTCGCGGCCCCGCCCAGGCTCTTACGCGGCCCCGCCGCCTACTCTCGCGCGGCCCCGCCCCGGCTTTCACGCGGCCCCGCCGACGGCTCTCACGCGGCCCCTGCCCCGGCTCTTACGCGGCCCTGCCGCGGGCTCTCTTGCGGCCCCTCCCCGGCTCTCACGTGGCCCCGCCGTCGGCCCTCTCCAGGCCCCGCCGCCGGCTCTCTTACGGCCCCGTCGCCGGCCCTGACGCGGCCCCTGCCCCGGCTCTCAAGCAGCCCCGCCGCCGGCTCTTTTGCGGCCCCGCCGCCGGCTCTGAAGCGACCCCGCCCCGGCTCTCACGCAGCCCCGCCGCCGGCCCTCACGCGGCCCCTACCCGGCTCTCTTGCGGCCCCGCCGCCGGCTCTGAAGCGGCCCCGCCCCGGCTCTCACGCGGCCCCGCCGCCGGCCCTCACGCGTCCCCGCCCCGGCTCTCTCACGCGGCCCCGCCGCCACACCTGCAGTAGTCGGGCAGCAGTGCCGCCGAACCGCCCGGGAGCCGAGCCGCCCAACGCCCGAGCCGCCCAGTCACCGAGCCGCCCGGGACCCGAGCCGCCCTGCACCCGAGCCGCCCTGCCGCCGAGCCACCCGGGAGCCGAGCCGCCCTGCACCCGAGCCGCCCTGCCGCCGAGCCGCCCGGGAGCCGAGCCGCCCTGCGCCCGAGCCGCCCAGCCGCCGAGCCGCCCGGGAGCCGAGCCGCTGTGCACCCGAGCCGCCCGGTCGCCGAGCCGCCTTTCTGCAGAGCTGCACGACCTGCCCTGCCTGGTGAGCACAGTCCCACTGTCAGTGCGAGCTCTTTCCCTACTGCTTGCACTGCGTCGCTGTCGTCGCCATGGCTACCCCTAGTGTCCTAGCTTTTGACGCTGAGGGTCGCGCCATTGATTTTGAGGTCTGGTTAGACGACCTGCAGCTATTCTTACAGTGCGACAGGGCTGACGGCCTTTCTCTCTTTGACCTCACCTCTGGCGCCTCTCCTGCTCCTGCTGCTGATGCTGATCCCACTGTCCGCTCTCAGTGGGCCACCCGCGATGCTGCTGCACGTCTTGCTGTGCGTCGCCACCTCCCTACCTCTGAGCGTGCGCACTTTAGTCAGTACAAGAGTGCTCAGACCTTGTACGACGCTGTAGTTGCGCGCTACTCCTCCCCTGCCACTGCTGCACTGAGCCGTCTTATGCTTCCCTACCTCTTTCCTGACCTCTCTGCCTTTCCCACTGTCGCTGACCTCATTACCCACCTCCGCACTAGTGACACTCGCTACCGCGCCGCCCTTCCTGCTGAGTTCTGCGCTAAGAACCCACCCCCCATGTACATCGCTCTCTACTACGTAGTCGCGCGCCTCCCTGACTCCCTTCGCGTCGTCAGGGACCACTTTCTCGCAGTCTGTCCCACCACCCTCACCGTCGACCTCCTCGAGAAGGCCCTCCTCGCAGCGGAGAAGAGCATAGTCGCTGTAGGTGCTTCTCGTGGTGACCCTCGCACCCCCATCTTTGAGGGGTGCTCTCCTTCCCCCTTGCTGCCCTCTGTTGCCTCTGCTGCTGCTGCCGACCTGCTTGGTCTTGAGTCGGTCGGCGCGGCGTCTGCCCCTAGTGGGAGACGTCGCTCCAGCAAGGGCAAGGGGGGCAAGGGCGCGGGTGGAGCTGGAGGGGGCGGTGGCGGTGGCGGCGGTGGCGGCGGAGGGAGTGGGGGTGGCGGCGGGACTAGTGGCGGGGGTGGTGGTGGTGGTGGCAGCAGCGGCGGAGACGGTGGTGGTGGTGCCAGCGGTGGTGGTGGAGGCAGCGGCGGAGGTGGAGGCGGCGGAGGTGGAGGCGGTGGAGGCGGCAGCGGAGGAGGCGGTGGTGGTGGAGGAGGTGGAGCTGGTCGGGGTGGTACCCAGCAGCGTAGCGGCGGTGGTGGTGGCCAGCGCTCGCAGCGGCAGCAGCAGCAGCGCTCGCGGGACATCCCTCCGCCTCAGCACCTTCGTGAGTGGTACGCTGGGCGTCAGAGGGGTGGGGGTACTGGTCCCTGCACCTACGTTCTTCGTTCTGGCGACCGCGCGGGTGAGCAGTGTGGGGGTGCCCACGCCACCCAGCGCTGCTTTGGCCGCCTGACGGACGCTTGGCGTCAGCAGTTCCCTGGGGCTAGTGAGATCCCTCGCTGGGATGAGCTTCTTAGGGCTGGTGTAGCGTTCTTTGATCTTGATTTTGATGCTATCCTTGCTGCTATGTATGCTGTGACTTATAGTGAGGAGAATGAGGGTTACCGGTGTTTCCAGCCCGACCCGGGCATTGGTACTGCTGCGTTAGGTGCTTGTGAGGCTGCTGCTCTAGGTGCCAGTGCGTCTGCGCTCTCACGTACTGGTGAGACTGCGCTCTCAGGTACTGCGTCGTTCTCGTCCTCCCTCACTTTCACACTTGACTACGGGGCTTCACGCTCCTTCTTTCGAGACCACACTACTCTTACGCCGCTCGGCCGGCCGGTTGCAGTCTCCCTTGCTGACCCCTCTGGGGGTCCTGTCCTGTCTCACTTCTCCACTGTCCTCCCGTGTCCGGCTGCCCCTTCGGGCACCCTGTCTGGTCTGTACCTTCCCTCGTTCTCTATGAACTTGGTGAGTGGTGCAGCCCTGCAGGATGCGGGGGTTCACCAGTTCACTCCTGCGAGTCAGCGGGTGACCCACTGCACGGACGCACGCACAGGCCGACACCTGGCCACCTTCTCGCGTCGGCCGGGGTCGAGTCTCTACACCCTGACCGTTGAGTCTCCTCCTGTCCCTGCGTCCGGTCAGGTAGCTGCGTCAGGTCAGGTGCTTGCTGCTGCGTCCCGGTCAGGTCCTGAGTCTGCCCCCTGTTCTTGTCGCCTCCTGTCTCACGAGACTCTCCTGTGGCACCACCGTCTTGGCCACCCCTCCTTGCCCCGTCTTCGGAGCATGGCTTCCCGTGTCC